ATCCGTATAATATGTGTGTGAGAGTTTAATTTGCTATTATCCCCTAGATGAAGGTAACACTCACTTCTCATTTGGAACCAAAATATGGTAACATTCCAATTCCTTTGCCAATTTGTCAAGTTGCTAATTTCATTATGTACAAGCCTTGTCATTTACGGCGTCAATGAATCTTACTTGTCCATGAGCGCCTTCGACCAAAGTCAGCTCAATTGTAAGTTAAAAGTTAGGGAGTAGCTCTCTTATCTTTATGTCATCCTCGCGCGCGTGTGCCAATTTGGTTTTTTTTTTCTTTCAATGCACTTTATAATCTGCCTTTTGAAATAATAAAAAGGTCTGAAGACTCTCTAGGACTTTATATAAATAGAGGTGAAACTTTTTTGAATTAAAAAATATTAGTTAATGTAAATGTTTTTAAAAAGAACTGGGAGGATAATATTATAAATAACAAAATTCACATTAAAAAGATTTAAAATAAAAAATAAAATGAGAACATGAGTGTTATTTTCATGGGATAAGAAGACCAATTTCTCTTTATTAATACGAAAATGCCCTCCGTTAGACGTCGTCGTTGTGGAGTGGACGCATATCTTTGCCTTGGTATAAGTATATCTGAGTTGCACATATATCCTACAAAATGACCACTTTTTATAATTGCAAGAAGGTTGTGTTTTTGCTGCTGTTGAGCTTTTTGGAAGCCCTGTGCGTTGCTGATCCTACTGATGGCTTCACGCGTGTCATTGGCTGCACAAAACCTCAATTTACAGATACCATATGACAAGTCTCCGGCGGATCGTTACAGCAAAGTCGATGGAGTTGAGAGGTTTTGGGTCTACACCAATGACAAGCCCTTTAAACAAGGCAGTCCAACCAGGCCACGCACAGAGATAAGAATTTCTGTATGTATTGATCTCTTTCCCCTCCTCTCTATCTCTAGGCTGATTTTATTGAAATTAGAATAATATTTTTTAGATTATGCCCCAAATTAATATTTCATTAAGTGAATTTTGAACCAAAGTTGTGTTTGGGCCTACGGCTTTCATGTCCTTCATGTTGTTGCGAGGAAAACATGTGAACCTATTCCAGTCACGTGACATTACTGAATGACATAAAAAATTGTGTTAAAAGACGTGTCATGTATCTAACAAGTAAAAACTTATCATCACACACTTAATCGTAAGACATCTTTTAACTGATGCATTTTTTAGTTGAACACTAGCAAGAGCTCCTAAAGTAGGAGTTTAGTACTACTTGTAGAAAGTCTGTCCTATTTGGTGGAAATAGTCCACCTCATCCTAAAAATCAGTACTTTACCCTAAGAGCTCCTAAAATGAAGAAAAATAATATGTATAACCCATCCTCATGAAAATTCCTGACTCCGTCTAGTGTGCTCAGACCTCAAATTTTATCTCAAAACAAATGTGTATTGTATTTGATCGATCTTTTTCAAGCACCAATTTTTATTTTTATTTTTTCTTACAAGGGATATGACTACACATTTGGGGTTCGGCAATTTGAGGGCAATTTCTATGTGCCACAAGGCAGCTCGGGCGTCATAATAATGCAGATCCATGGTGCAGCGACTGAAGCTACAACACTGCAACTGAGGGTCTATAATGGGGATCTCAAGTACTACGGAAACCATGCAAGAATAAAATAATAATAAAAAAACAGGTTAATTAATTGGGAGTTTCACTAAAACACCCAAAATGGAGGTTGAAATTATAAAAAAACCCAACACCCAAAACACTTTATAAACACACCCAAAACCCATCATTACACACACTCAAAACCCATTTATAAACACACCCAAAAAGTTGACTTTGGGTTGATTTTGGGTGTGTTTCTATGTTTAAATAGTGCTTGGGTTTTTTTATAAATACATGTCTAGGATTGAGTTTATTTATAAATTTGTATAATTAATAAAGCTTGTTTTTTGGGCCAAGAGGTATGTTCCGTCAATCTTTAACTCTAGGAAGCCTAAGAGGCAAGGCGGGTTTGGGCCGAATCACAATTTTGATCCTTGGCCGCCTGAAGAAGAGTTTGGGTTTTACTTCTCATGTCACTTAAGAAAGAATATAATGACAAATCCAAGTTGGCTGATACTGGAAAAACAATGTTATTATAACAACTCATATAATAACGGAAAATGATTATGAAAAAAAAAAGTCCTTCACCGAAGACAAAATATTATAATGGTCCAGCTCCTCCAAAATTGGACAAATCAATCCAAATAGTGACATGAAATAACTCTTATGTCACTATCGAACAGTGACCTGAGAGTTGTTCAATGTCACTCTCAGTAAATAACTAAGAGTTTATTTCATGTCACTGTCGGATAGTGTCTAGACCCATTTGTCCAATTTTTTAGGGATTGGACCATTTTGTCTTTGTACCCTTCTATTTGTCCTTTTATGGTAAAGCCCTATATAATAAGATTGTTTTGTTTTATTGGCTGGAAAAATATGCTTGGTGAATTGAACGAAGAAAAGGAAAATGAAACAAGGAGCTATGACAGACTGCTGTGTTGGCATGACCAACTACTCTTTTGAGTATTTGAGGAGGGAGGAAGTGGGGAATGCTATTTCTGGATTGAAGGATCCGACAAGGCAATATTCATACGATAAGTTGACGCATATGACAAATAAATAATTATATAAGCACAAACAGCATTATTTAAACTTTAGCTTAATTCTTTTGGATTAGTGGAAGCAAACCCACGTCAAGATTAACAATATCTAATTCACTTCCCTGTTTAATCATGTTACTAATGATATAATATTTGATGGGGGCAAGTTTAACACAAAAAAAGGGATGTTTTCAAGTGGTTAAGAGCATTTACCCCAACACTCGAGGTCCTATGTTCGATTTCCCCTTTCCCCAATATTGCTTCTATCTGGGAAAAAAAAACTAGATGCCTCATGTAATTACCACACAGTTTGATTGACCACAAAAAGAAAGATATGCACAAAATTTCAACTGGTGGAGTTTTTCATAATCAATAGCACCAAAAGAACAGAAACAAAAGCATGAAAGCAATTATCAAGTTGTTCCTATAAATAGGCTTACCATATTCTAGGTTGGTATCCATCTTCCACAGCCTCAATTTCCATTACTTCCATGTTGCCTTTAAATTGCATTAAAATGAATTCCTTCTTCGGCAAGCTCCTGTGCTTGATCCTATTGATCTTGAAGTACCGGTATATTTGTGCTGCTGATCCTACTGATGGATTCACCCTTGTGCCACTAACAGATGAGAACTTCAAGTTACAGAAACCCTACAACGAACCCCTCAATGATCGTTACAGTGACAAGGATGGAGTTCGAAGTTTCTGGATCTACAACCATGACAAGCCATTCAAAACCGATAGCACAACTAGGCCCCGTTCGGAAGCGCGCATAACGGTACTCTCTCTCTCTCTCTCTCTCTCTACTTCCCCGCTCCCCAAAACTCCTTCCTATGGCAATAACAAGTTGTCTCACTCGGGTTTTCTTGCAGGGTCATGACTATTCTTCTGGGATTTGGCAATTCGAAGGCTATGCATTTGTGCCGAGTGGCACTTCTGGGGTTACAATAGTGCAGATCCATGGTGCAGCTGAGGGAGCTACATCTCTACAACTAAGGATGTATGATGGAGATATCAAATACTACAAATACAACGTAGTAGCTACCAATCTCTATGATAAGTGGTTCAGAGTAAACATAATCCACAACGTTGACAAAGGGAAGATAATAGTTTTCATCGATGGTGTGAAAAAGTTTGTGGTGAAAGATCAGGGACCAGGGGACCTGTATTTCAAATGTGGAGTATATGCTGCACCAGAAAACTCGAGCAACTACATGGAATCACGTTGGAAAGAGATCAAACTTTACAAAAAATGATGGGATTTGTAGAATATTTCTATTTACTATAGCTGAAGTATGCTGTTACAGTGTCTATCTATCTATCTATCTATCTATCAGTCTATTTATTGAAGTACAAAGCTATGGTTTGACTAGAACTATTATAACTCTTTCTCGCTCTTCTATTTCGCTTAAATTAGATTTTATGAGTGCAAATCATACAGGGTTTAGTAGCACCTTTATAATGTATAAACTAAAATTGCCTGTGATCTCAGCCTCCAGCTACCAACTAAACAACTCGTACAATCAATAAATTTCTTATTCAACCTGTGCTAAAAAGATGAACAAACTGCAAAAATGTTCTGGAAATCTAAATTTCTAAATGAACTATGTGAAGGTGCGATAGAATTGTTGACTCATATAAGCAGTTTCTAGAATGTCACATGATTACCGTTCTCCAAGTGATTCAAACAAACTCAATATGTAATGAACTATCTGACATGTTACCGGATATCTACAAGCAAACATCACTTCGTACATGCCTTCGAACACATTTGTCCATCTGTTACAGGTAATTCTTCAAACCCACAAGTATGTTTTGTTCTTTCTTTTTCCTTTGGGGAAAGTATGGAAAGCTCAAGAAGTAGAATCAGGAAATTTTCAAGAAATGTACGTGACAAGTACAAACATAGTTCTGGGTGATAATTAGACAAACTAAATGTTACCCGGGAATATGTAAAAATCAGTGTCCACGAATAACAAAACAAGCCATGACGGCCAAACTCAATTGGCCCTGTCCACTGTCCTATGATTGTGTGCTTGCAAAACATGGTTGGAGAAGATTGGGATACAGCATCAAAATAACAAAGCAAATATTCAAGCAGGTTTTTGTACAAGACCCGGTATTTATATTTCATAGGTCAATCAACACCAACACGGCACTAAATAATGAAAGACTGGGAACCAAAAAATTGATTTAAATAATTGAGCTCGATTGAGCACAGTTATATTCTTATTTTGTCAGTTTAACTAACTGAAAATGAAGTTTGGTGCAATCTAATTCTGTTACACAAGCTGTGAGAAACCTACATTAGCTTGTAAACAATATTATCAATCAAACCCACACAGGGAAGCCATGAATGAAATGAATGAAACGCCAAATTAAAATGATATGACTATAAAAAAATTATAAAAAATGAAGAAGAAACATATCTGTACAACAGTACAAGACACAGCAAGAATCCTACGAACCACATGGCAGGCAGCACCACTTCTCAAGTTGAAGAAAGAACCACACCAAAGGGTTTGGAAGTTCATCTTCCTCTGAAGATGAAGTTGGCATTGGTAGCACAGGAGGTAACTGCCGATGAAACGCATCAACTGCAGCAGCTACACCGTCTTCATTCTCTATCAACTTTGCTATTTCTAGTACCCGAGATTTAACCTAAGATGTAAAGCCCTGGTTAGAACAAATGCATGGTGTTGCTATGTTGCTGCAATATTTTCATAGCAACCACATGACCTCTTATCCACTAATGCTACTACTGCTCAAAGCATAGCCACATAATTTCACATATTCTTTGACTTCAAGACACTACATTTAAATTGCCAGATGCAAGACCAACTATAAAATAACAATAGAATGCTTTCTTCCTTTTTCATATTATGGGAGTTTACAGCCTTAGGATATTCTTCCTTAATTTACAATACAATGAAACATACGTGCACATCTCTGGAATCTCTAAATGTCATTTTAATTTGGTAATATTCTCCAGTTGTTTATGTAAGTGACTGTTCAAGCAGGTAGACAATGCATCGTGTGTGATCTGGACTGAAAATACTCAAGTTTAAAGAAATCTTTTGTTATGCTCACATAATGTAGTTCAATATGAAACTTAAACAAGTGACATGTTTTGGGATTATGGAAAAAACAAAAAACAAAAAAAAAAGATTATGAAAGGACTCTGTTTTTGTGTTTTTAAAAGCGATCATCTTCACCCAAATAATACACATATTACATGGGAGCTATGTATTTTTAGTTAAGAAACTATAATTCAGGTCAAAACAAGCAAAACATTGTGAAAACATCTTTGATATGCATTGTTTGGCCCATTGCTTAAGCTCTAGTGTTTTATTTGTTGTCTAATATAGTGTCAGAAAGAGCTCTTGTTGCAGGAGGCCTCGTGTTCAAACCCCCCAATTCTCATCTCCAGTAATTTGTTGATTGCAAAGTGCAAGGTGAGGCTGCACCTATATAATAAGCCTCTCCGCGTGCAAGATGGGGCAATACATGAAGGAATGTGTGAGCTCGATACACATTGTTAACTCATTCTTTAACAGTTTAATCTGTTGGGGGTCCAGTGGTTGTAACACCCAAAAAACACACACACACACACACACACACTCTCATGCATGTGTAATCTCTTCATGAATAAAATCTATAGCTAGGTTGTATTTGATTCAATAAGAATTAAGAAATATTAGGTATGAAAAGCAATCTTAAGTTGTCACAACTTTGAAAAATGACTAGAATAATGAATGCCATAAGAGTTAAAATAGTATAATTATTTCCATATTGTACGGCACCCGTCAATTTCTTCATTCAGATGATAAATAATTTTCAAGCTAACATGTTTTCTAGATAAAATAGGCAGAAATAGAAATTAGAAATACCTCTGGCTCCAGCATGAATCTGATAGCATTTGAAAGGCTCTCGACACTGAGCTGAGAAATAGGTATTGGTGCAGGCCCCAAGCCTTTCTCATGTATCCTCTCACCCCAGAAGAACTGATCTCCAAAGAATGGCACTATGGTTGTTGGACACTGTACATTGAAAAATAGTGCTGTTAGATCATCTCCAACAAGTTTCAACTCCCTTCGAATAATAAACAAATAAATAAATATATCTAACAGGTAAATATAGCTTTAATTGTCACAGATCGTTGAGACTATTATCCAACCCAAGACCACACAGCAATGGATGGAGACGCCTAAGATCTTCTAGACTACTATGCAAGGCTTCCATTTACCCTTGTTGGATGACAGTCTTAACAAGCCCCTCATGTGTGTGTCGCATTCAAGCCAAAAATGTGGACAACTTAAATGGGTGAGGTAGGAGCACGTAGGTGGGAGCACATGTGGCCATTAGGCCCAACACATGGATGACTTGCACTAATACCATGAAGATTTTGTGAGTTTTCTTAATATATTCTTCTTAAGTGGAGGATCCGTTAAATCTTACAAAGACTAAACTAGTAAATATAGAATAATAAAGCATAGATTAAAGAATAGAGTTGACTTGAGAGAGCTATACACAGTAACTCATAAAAACAAATAACGGAAATTAAGAAAGTTGTGTAACATATTATGTGACTAAAAGTTATCTTGTATCACATAATATGTTGACTCATTCAAAGTACTCTTCAAAACATTGATCACAGAATACTTTCTTTTCTTTTTCGGCTTGGCAAGATTTGAATCAGGAAACGACCCCAACTCCACTCCACCCTTACCACCTCAGCCACAGGCCAGGTGGGTTGATGCCAAAAAGTCTCAGAAACATGTAAAGATAATGCATCCATTATCCCAGAAAGTGTGGATATCGGAACAACCACACCGACTGAAAAGAATCTTACCCCAGCTCTTAATCCTGTAGCTGTGGTTCCAGCACCACCGTGATGAACCTGCATATTAGTGGTAGTATAGCTTCAAGTTAGCTGACCATCCCCAAACTCTAAACAATAGATATTTAACAAAAACATGCAGTAATAATCAATCTCTACAATTTTTTCTCAATTGATTTACCCACAGTTTGTTACTGTATGGCACTTGGAAATTTTCCAGTTTCTCTAAAGATTACAGGAGTAATAATTAGTTAAAAAAGAACAAAAAGTGAAACCTACTACTAATCTGTAGACTAAAAACTAACATTTTCTTAAAGAAAAAAAATTAAAAAAAGCTTTTTTTTGTCAAAAAATTAAAACAATTCACCTACATCTAAAAGGTCCCTTAAACTTATTTAAAAAAAAAAATGCAACTCACTACTGCTGAACATTGAGGAAACAGCCAATCGTGAGGACAGTCCTCCAATAGGAAAACATTATCAGATGCTTCTGTAACTGCAACATGGAAATCAAATTAGACAAAAGCATATCAGATGCTTTATCATTAATGCAAAACAACTGACTACAACTGATTGTCTTTTTCCTTTTTTTTCTGGGGTAAAAATACCCTTATAACAAACATGTAATTTGATAGGAAATACAAAAAGTAACATGAATAATCAATTGAAATTCGAAACACATAAAGGAAATACAAACAAATGGGAGAGTATGTCCAAGGGCAAGCATATGTGAACAATAGGCATTATATAAACCAATAAATTATGGGAACAATCTTTGACGTAACCATTACAACAAACATGTAATCGGACAGAAAATACAAAAACTAACATGAATAGTCAAATTGGCATTCAAAACAAACAAAGGAAATAAAAAAATGTGTGTGTGTGTGTGTGTGTGTGTGTGTGTGTGTGAGAGAGAGAGAGAGAGAGAGAGAGAGAGAGAGAGAGAGAGAGAGAGAGAGCATATGTCTAAGAGAAAGCATACGTCAACAGTAGGGTTTACAGACCTTCTAACTTTAATGCTATCATGACCCCAATCAAATTCCAAATCTTACAAAAGTATCATCCCAAAAGATGTAGCCTTTATTAACTCTACTGTTTCTTACCAAAAGATGCAACAGAAATTAATTAAAAATAATGGCAATATAGTCCAGTTCTATATCAACACGGACACTGATTGGAAAACCAAAGTGCGTAATATGTAAAGAACTATAAAATACTGTGGAATTTCCAAGGAATATCAGATTAAAGCATGAAATTTTATTGGAAAAAGAATACACTTACAATTCCCCAGGTCCCCCCAACCTCTGTCAATTATTCCTCTCTGTCCTGTATCTTTCAATGCCTCCAATATAATCTCCGTAGTTTTCTTGGGGTCCTCAAGTGGCTTAACAAGCAACAGGTGTAGTTTCAGATTTTAGTGCTTTCAAAAGTCATGATGAAAACATGATTTTATAAGCCACGGATGTGAATCATGAAAGAATTAAAAGGTTTACAAAAAAAGCCATCCATCTATACATATCCCACCTCCCTCTTCAAAAGAAAAATATACTTTAGTATGTCCATAAATTATCATCCAGATTCCACGTAAGGACAGAAATATCTAGAGGTAGAAAATTCAAGTCTACACTATATGCAAAGGTAGGAACATTATCATTTTTGGAAATTTATTAGTATGGTTGTCAAGCTACTCAAAGAGCCCTTGGAACTTCGTTAACAGAAGATACATACAATATTAGACGAGATAACCGTCCATTTTCTAGGAACAAGGTTAATTCCCACCAGTCCTTCCAAATTTGATATAAGATTTGATTATAACATAGCATGTACCCTTCCTCTCTGTTGAAGCAAAGCATCATGTACAGGAGCTAATATATTTTTAGAGTATAAGAGCCTCTCTTCTAACTGTGATACTTTTGAAGGAAAAAATTGACAAGAAACTAACAGAAGAATAAAAAAGGAATACACACTACAACTTGAATCACTTCATACATGAGATCACATACCATGCTTCCGAAGCCAATATATATAGGTTTCGACCCTTTCTGAATCCAACGAACAAACTCATCTTGAGGTTGATGCTTTGACCCAAGGTTTAGGAAACAATAACCAACGACATCCACAAGAGGCCCCCAATCTGCAAGTATTATACATTGTCAAACCTTCCATCAAATATAGCATAAACATTGCATACATTGACACAGGCAGTGACTAAGACAGTGGAGGGTGTCAAATGACAGCTGTTACATTCACATTGAGACGAACTCCATTAAACTTTCAAATATAGCATAAACATAGCACACATTCACACTGGCAATGACTAACACAATGACTTACCACTTGGCTTTGGCACAACATGAGGGCTCCACATATAGCCTGTTGGCAAATGAGATATTGATCCATGGTATGTGCTGAAGTATGCAATAGGAGCAAGCTTCAACTTCTTTTTTCTGAAATCATTAATATATCCCCTAATGCCCCACCATATCAGCAAATCCACAACAATATATGAAAGCTGGATGTGGCAAAGACAAATGGGAATAAATTTGTCATGAAGTTAGTTCAGTAATTCAAAAAATATGACAATAAAATAAATAGAAATAGAACACTAAACAAAGAGCATACCCAATAACCAGCACTTTGAGGTACACGTGCCAGTGGGTGAGGAAATTCATAAGTAGGCCTGCCTATAGAAAAGATAGGTAAGATGGCATAACATAGAAAAAAGTTCCAATCGAAATAAACCAGTATTCACATGCTACTGGAAAAATAATAATAAATAAGAGCATAAAATATTTAAACTCCATTAATTAGAATCTCGAGTAATTTCATACATGTCAACTTAAAACATCAATGTAGTCCATGTGACTGAGAAAGTCTTTTCCAACCTTTTCTGCTTCTGGGTGGTATATATTAAGTAATAATTATATTTGCAACACTTCACTTGACACTTTCTAAAATCTAAACTAAGGAAGAAACTTATGGAGGTAAACCTGGATCTTATATATCAAACACTGGAGAAGATCAAAAGGCTCAAAATGGGAGCATTCTGATCCCATCCATGAAAGTGTTTTAATCCTGGACCTAACAATCTACGATCACCTCTTGTGTTGCCTCTTTTTTTAGCCTCTTATTAGAATGTTACTGAATATACATATAGGGAAACATTCTCTAATTAAACAGTCTACCATATTTTCCGACTGTCAATTTGAACAACTTCTCAAGTGGATTCTTGTTTGAATGAGTGGTCCAGAAGATTGACAGGTCAAACACAACATGTCAGATTGTCTTCCAAAAGAACATTACTTGAGACACATACACATGGATATTATTAATCTACTCATGTATACAAGACGTGTGTAAACAAGTGAAACTGGGCCATCTTATTGTTGACTTAGTACAAATATTATTCCAAGCATTGCTCTAGTTTAGAAATATAGATTCTTCAGGAGAAGTAAAAGTTGACATGATACATGCATGCAATATACATATGTGAGCCCTTAAAGTGAGGATGTTTGCATTTTAAGATACATGTGAACATCCTCTCTCGGGTCACCCTGAAATGCAATTCAATGATTAGAAAGGTCTGTTGCTTGGGTCGCTCCTTAAGCATCATCCATGTAAAAACTCACCAAACCGGTAACTGTTTGGCCATCTAAATTTTTCGAACAATCCGTCAGCTAAAACCAAAATTACTTTCATTGCAATCAAATGGCTAAACAATTTTCTGTTTGGCTGATCTTTTGCACGGATGATTCCTAGAAGAGAACCTAAGAAATGGGCGGTTCCAATCATTGGAAAGCAGACTGGGGATAGTTTTTATTTTTTTTAATGCAAACACTCACCTGAAAATTATCCAAGATTTATGTTTCACAATTTGTCAAAGAACATTCAATTTGTAAATGGTGTTTTTTCTGTATCAAAAGAATGCAAGAAAAGAACTGGTCAAAACTCACGTCCATGGCATTGTGAAGAAAATATGAAGGGGTACTCCAAGAGCTTCAGCAACATGAGCGTGTCCTGCAAGACAAGAAGTGGTTAAGAATATGTTCATATATTCTTATATAACAGGAGGATAAGGTTAACACTTAGTTCCTCTCTCCTCAGACAACATATTCCACCAAAACTATTTGACTTTAAGGAATTAGCAACCACGGAGACATCTATTTACTCTTAATAGCCGAACTAGAAATAATGTCTCATTCTCCAATAAATAGTTATACTTCCAAGTTGTAACTGGGCCAGGCCCAATATGTTATACAACCATCTGTTACTAAGTCTATATTTCAGTGCATGGCTTCCAACCACTGTGTTATTCTCCTAGATCAATGGGGAAACTATTCTGATTTCAAGCTCGATAGGACCCTGCACCCAATGTAAGGGAGGGTCTAGAGTTTCAATTGAACTTGATTAGAATGGCATGGTCCAGTAATAAAAGATGAGGTAAGACGCAAGAAGTCTGAAATGAAGTGTTAACATTTACACAAGTGACACAACATTTAGAGAAACACACAGGACCAAATCATAAGCTAAGAACACAACTTTCTAATTCTATTGTCAATAAAAGTTCATTCTAAAACCCTGGCATAGACAGCAATACATACTGACTTAAAGAAAATATAACTCAATTGAAGTGACATTAAATATTCCACTTGTGAGAACTCACCATAAGCAGGAGGGTTTGCAATAATTGCCTGTGCCTTAAAAGGCACACCAGTTTCTATATCTGGTTCTGTGCAGGCTGGAAGAAGAGATTCAATAATTGCCTTCAGTTGCTTTCTTTGTATAGATATTTCTGCTGGCCCAGATGGAATGAGACCTTTGTTTCTTGCCATATCTAAAATTAAAAGGCACTGAATTTCAGTTATTCAATAAAGAACTTGAGGGGAGGATGTGATAAAATTAAATATATTTAGACGTGTTAAAGATTGTCCTTCAATTTAAAGTCCAAGCAATGAAAAATCTTCAACTTTGGCTAAAAAAATATAGAAGTTAGAAATTCTAAAGCAGTCAACAATCAAATATTTAACTTGAGTTTCACACAAACTCTTACAGATTGACTTTCATAAGAAATTATGGAGAGAGGGAGAGGGAGCATGAGCCAGAAAATTTATTAATGCTTCTGTCACACCTCTAAAGAATCACATGGTAGAACTGACCACATATCAGGCAAAATAGACAGGGACACAGGAAGAGAATCTACCAACAATATCGCCACAAAAATAAGATAATTTGCAATATATTATCAAAAATGTATTTTTAACATTAGGGACCTCTTACATCCTGCCAAAACACGAGGATCACCACCCAAAGGATAAAAGTCTACACCAGCTGACTTTACAAAAGCACTGAAGTTAGCATGAGTTGCCAGCCTAACATGATGGCCAAACTCCTGCAAGAAAACATCAAACCATCTAAAATCATTAAACCATGGAGAAAATAAATGTAGACAATAAGGTAGGTACCCTACAATTTTATAGCAAGGACAACGTTACAATCATTAACCTATCCACATCTTTTTAGCCCAAAACTTTGAGACGCAATATATCACAACAGTGGTACAAAACTAAGCTTCAGAATGCAGTCATTGGACCAACAAAACAACACCTAACCATAAAGATATCAACAATATCTGCACTTGCTTAAGAACCAGTACATCAAGTAGAATCCTCATAACATCTGTATAATAAAAATTTGTATTACAAGTACAAACTGAATGCCAAGGTTACATGGATCTTAAATGTAATCTGGATTGATGAGATGTTGATTTTGAAGGAATTCTTTCACACTGAAGACATATCATGATATTTATAACTACAAATACCTACGAAAATACTAAGAAATCAGTGGCATCAAAAGTAAGCTATTCAAAACAAAGTCATCCAGTTATGTTAGACATGCCTGAAATCTCTTCGCCATAGCCAGAAAAGGCTGTACATCTCCTCTTGTTCCAACCACAAGTATGGCAATTTTCAACCTTGGAATTGACTTGGTAGTACTGGAAGTCATATTATCAAGATTGACAGGCACATCTTCAATACTCTGGAGCTCTAACAACTCAGAGGCAACAGGTGCACTTTTTTCTAAATCAACTTCTACTGTTCCATCATTTTGTATCTTGACCATCTCAACAATTAATTTTTTCTGCAAACCAAAAACAAAAATAATGATCAACCAAGGGGAGAATGAACCACAAAAATGTGCAAGAGTACATAAAACCATCTACATTTATAATTTTGTTAATGCTGATTTGGAGGATGGTGGATAACTAGCAGACTCAGTGGTTGGAGCCACTAAATTATTTAGCAGTGATATAACTCAATTTATGTCATTATTCTAATTTAATCATCAGGTCCGGAAACAGTATAAGATACTGTAAGACAGGGACGGTGTCGGACACTCATGCTTTGCAAATAAAATTAGGGAACAACATTCAGCATTAAGTTGCAGTTGCATGAAAGAAACTAGCCCAAACAAGCATGTTTGTAATGAATAATGCACATCTCTTGTACCTTCTGCAGTTAGACAAATAAAAATTTATACGCAAACATGAGTATGGCAATGAACTAGCTCATGCAGATGATGGTATCTACCTTTTCACGCTCTGACAGTCTATCCAGCTTGAAGTCATGCCTGGGAAGTCCCTTCTTCTCAGTCATGGATCTAGAGAATTTAATCTCATGATCCTCAATTAGTAAACCTTTGGGAGTGCCAATAGGTGCAGTGATGTAATGGTCCAAGCCTTCATTAACATATGCTTAGGTATCAGTGAGCATATATCCGATAAACACTAAAACAACAGAATAACATACGGTAAAGGTGTTCAAATATGCTGTTAAAGTCCAACAACATCGGGGGTCAGTATGATCATATCATCCTACTAATTGGATTAACGGTTCTGATCATATCATCCTACTAATTGGGTTATTGGTTCAGATCATAATCAGACTATCCAACTAATGGGATCATAATAAGATTCATGTCATCCTCCGATCCAATTACAAGCTTAGTAATAGGTTTGGCCACAACAATAATGGTGGATATAATCATATAAATCCCTCAATTTTACGGTCTGAGTTGTTTCCACGATTTAGACCACATTAAGTTTTACTTTTTGTTTCTTTTTTGGTTTTGCTCTACCACTTCAATCTGGGCATCTATATTCCATGTTCCAACACTTAGTTACATCTAGAAGGAACTTCACAAAGTAATTTCTGATTACTAAACTATAGATAAACATACAGTAATAACTACAAAGGTATAGCTGCTTTTGTTGGTGTTCGTTTTCCCATTGTATATACAAATAAATTAACAAACTCTGGTTATGTAGAGATAATATCAAGTTTCTCGGCCAAATAATAGTAATTCCATATTGTCTAGAAATTATTAGAAGCATATAGTTCACACTAAAGAGAAAGAAGCTGATCAACTCTCTTCCCGGAAAAAGCTTCATTTTAAGTCCTTCAATGCATAACAAACAAGAAAAGCAACAATAACTCAGACTACGTGGGCACTAACCTCTCTGAGGTGTCTGAGGTGAAGAACCAACATTGATCTCCTTTGACTGAAAAATCTCTAAAACTGAAGTGTGCCTAGAAGAATTTGTCTTCTGATTCCTCTCCTCCCGAAAAGAACCTGCATCCAAATTGTTCATTTGAAGACTTATTATATTATCCATTTCTAGTGACTTATAATAAATTCCACAAGCATGCTGAAAATCCTTACTCTGTTCTTGGCTGCTAACACTTTCCTCTACCAAATCTTTCAAGGGATGGTCAACCCCATTACTCCCCATTTTGCCTATTGCAAGGCTTGAGCAATCGAAGCCCACGAAACCACAACTCCAACAACCTTAGTTTCAGTTCCTAATATCCAAATTCTTGAATTCACTAAAAAGTGAATCTGAAAGCATGAGGCAATATCAACATCACCCAAAACCACCACCTAATCCGAACTGCAATAACTTACAATTCAGTTCCCAGTACCAAAATGAATCTACTGAAATTGCTGTTGAGGATGTTAATAAAGACAAACAACAACAAAAGACACACCAAAACAACAACCCTCAAACACTTTAAAATCAGTTCCCAATATCCAGAACCTCAAGTACAAAACAGAGAGAAGAGCTGAGAAACCAAGAAAGCCCAACCAACAACCAAGACCCACCAGTCCCTCAATTTCAAAAACCTTAAAAAGCTCCACACAGGGTCTAAATTATTGAAATTTAGCTGTTGCATACGCGGATCATTGACAGCTCTACTTGCTAACTGTAATTTGACCCACCACTACCAGTCAGTCAAAGCACAGAACGTTTGGTGGCCAAAAGTTTTAAAGTTTAAACCGCCTTTAAATCCCAAAAGCAATACCAAATTGAAGAAAAGTGAACTTTCAGCAAAGAATACAAAAAACAAAAACCAATTTTATGGGTGCTGCTGAATTTTGATGCCCAATAAAATATGGCGCTTCAACTCAACTCAACTCAAGTGCTAAAGAAAAGTCGAAGAACTGCTACAGACAAAGGGAACAAACTTGAAGAAAATTTCCGGGTCTTTGAGTTGAGAGGTGGTTCTGTTGTAGAAGCAGCAAAAGACAGGGGAGGGGGGGGGCAAAGGAAGCTTCTCACTGTCTGGATTTCAATGAACATGGACATACATGAGACAGAGTTGTACGGGACTGAGTCGTGACTCGTGCAAACTCTAGTGCTTCTAATTCATGTCATATCAAATATGTGCTAACTCATCATAACAGCACTTTAATTCAATATGAATTTTCAACTTTGCCCTCGTATGAATTCTTATCGCCTCAAAGATTTGGGGAATATGTTTTTTCTGATTTATTTTTAATTATTAGAACAGTTAATTATGTTTTTATCTATGTGGAAGTGGGTTCACTTGCCACGTCATCCATTCAAGTGGTGTGATGATTTATGTGTATGAAACTACAAAAACACCCCTGCCACGTCAGGAGTACCTGGGAAAGTGGGAAACATGAGACAAAAATTATGGTACCGTCCCTTCTGCAGCGCACTATGCTTCTTCTTCTTCTTTGCTCTCTCACGCGAGCTCGACAGAGGGGCAATTCTCGGCGTGCAATCGGCTTCGTCCGACCTCCGATTGACGTGATTTTTGTTGCTAAATGTTCTCATCATCCCCTTCTACATCACTCATTGATCATCCGCTCCGATTTGCCACTTTACGCTGCTGATTTTAGCTCCAAAATTTCTTAGAATTCCGGCCACTGTGAGTTTGACTGGCGATTTGGGTTACTTCCGCCCATCTTTCAGGTATGGTCCAACAACCAAAGTTTCTTAGTCGTTAAAGATCTTCATTTTGGTATGAATTATGACTGGTTATTTGAAGTTTTTCGTCGTCCAAAAATTACTCCGGCAAACCACCAGCTGGGAGGCCCGTGGGGTACTGTTGAATTTATGTGTTTGGCTCGGTGTGTAGTCCTCTATGTCCTGAGCATGAGGGTGTGCTCAGACTTGCGATAGTTTGATTGACTTTTGTCTATTGTGACTTTTGTCTTTTATCTATGGTGTGCTCAGGTTTGTTTGCGCTTAAGAAAAAAAAAATCTCCATGGATGGTATGTTTGTGTGAGAACTATAGGTCATCTCCGAGAGAGTCTGGGGTTAACTATGAGGAAGCGGGTTTTGTTAAGTCTAAGTGAGGTATTAAGTTTCAGTGGGAGGAGTCTTTTTTGTTGTTGAACTTGAAATAGTCTTAATTTAATGCTTGTTTATCTTAGAGTGGGTATTCAAATGTTTAATTAACTGCTGACCTTGTTTTCTAATAGGAAATGGACCCAATAAAAGGAAGAGGAAGAGGAAGATGCATAGGCCGCCAAGGCAGAAGTAGAGCCGGAGCTTTACCACAGACAGAGGTTGTTTCAGAGGTTCCGGAAGATTTTGAGCAGGAGCCGGAAGTTTCGCATAGGGCAACACCTGTGCCCACTGTACAGTTGGATGTTCATACGACAAAGTTGTTTGCCGAGTTCTTAAAGGCCAGAGGACATGGAGTTGCTCAACCTGCGTCTAGGGATCCTCCATTGCCTGAACATGTTGCCAATTCTCGATTGTGTGCATTGATCATTGAGCTCAAGGCACTAGGAGCTCAACCTTTCTTTGGGGGGAGTGATTTCATGATGGCGGATTACTGGATTCGTGACCTGAAGAACTGCTTTAGTATAATCGAAATCACAAGTGTGGAAAAGAGGAAGGTAGCCGCTTTTCTCTTACAGGAGGAGGCTCGTGTGTGGTGGGATACTGTGGTCAAATCCAAGGATGAGACCCAGATGGATTGGGAAGAGTTTGAGGCTCTCTTTTATGATAAGTACTTTCCTTATGTTGTGAAAAAGGCGTTACAACGTGAGTTCCTGGAACTTAAACAAGGGTCCCTAACTGTAAGGGAATATGAGTCCAGATTTTCAAAGTTGCTTCGTTTTGCACCGGCGTTTGATGAGGAGTATACAGCTTATCGGTTTGAGGAGGGATTGGCTGATCATATCGGTATGTATGTGGTTGCCTCGACACACAAGACCTTAGTTGAGGCGGTACACTGTGCCATGGCAGTCGAGAATAGTATTGAGCCGTACAGACTGTACCAGGATGAACGAAGAGACTATAAGGGCAAAGGGAAGACATCATCTCAGAGTAGCTATGGCTCGGGTAAACATGGTGGTATTAGAAAGAAACAGAGAACGACAACTCTGTATGAAGACATCACAGCTGCATCTGGTCAAGAGGGTGGGCTAGGGGAGTGTTACCATTGTGGTGGAGTTGGACATATGGCTAGAGATTGTATTAATCGCAGTGCTCATGTATGTTACACTTGCAGTCAGCCGGGGCATATTGCTAAAAATTGCACTCAGGGGCAGACTTGAGTGTTCACTGGGCGGGAGAGAAATGAGGAAATGGAAGTTATGTTTATGGAAGTTATGTTAACTATTGTTAATAGTTTTGTTGAAGTGTTGTTTGATACTGGAGAATCATGTTCATTCATTTCTTAGTTTAACATAAGAACACTTGACACCTCATCAATTTAACATAAGATCAAATGGGTAAATTCACGGGATATATAAATTGTTTGAATATTAAAACATTACGGTGTAAATTGACAAAATTAAAACCCTGTGGCTCATTTCGAGAGTGACCTTGAACCTTCATGGGCTAATATATTGGGGTTTTCAGCCTTAGACTACACAATTACAAATTTTATGTTGAACTATATTATAATTTAATGACAAAATAGACATAGACAAGTTATTCCAGAAAAGATAAAAACATCTAAGTACTAGCATATAATAGTTTTTTGAGATTCCGGTATGAGTTTTCAATTTTGAGTCAATTCAACCCTTCAAATGGTTGGTTATGTTTAAAATTTATCCAGTTTCTGAAATTTTTCAAGAAAATTCCGAAATATGTACTGAAATTTTCCAAAAATTGAAAGTTCTCCAAATTGGACTGGATATTGAAATTCCGAATTTTAACATAATTGAAATAGAATTTTCATTCCAAAAATCAACCCTAGTTCTGGGCTATCCTTAAGTAAAACGCACGCGTTTGCAGACAAATTTTTGTTTGCAGTTTTAAGCGAATTTCAGTTTATACGTTACATAATAGGTTTTGGTCATGAACAATATGTTTACATGGATTTGAAACCTTCTTACAAGCTTTAGAACACCTACTGTATTGTGCAGTGAAGTTGAGTTTTCATGGCCCAAAGTTTAGCTTGAAGAGAATTGATGACAAGGGAGGCTAAAAGATGTAATTTGGCCTTTTGTATTTGATCTTAACTGGAGTTACTAATTCTGCTGAATTTAGGTATACTCATTCTGGATCAGAATGAATTCAATCCAACTTAAATTTTTCTGGTTTAACTGACAAAAGTTTTCCTGCATTAATGTAAAAAGAGGAATGAAAAAGTGGCACACTTACAAGTTCCCATTACTAAATTTCACAGGATAAAAGTGTGGATGGAGTAGCAGAACAAATGGCAATTGACAATGCCTACTTACAACTTGAAAGAAACAGACTGTCAAATAAAACAGTCATCAGCTACAGCAAGAGGCTTTACAGTTTGCTGATGGTGTTCTTGGTGAGGCTTTCCATGGCCTTAGCCTTTTCTCTCAATACAAACTTCTGCACCTTCCCAGTCGAAGTCTTTGGCAGATCTTCAAAAACAACTGTTCGAGGAGCCATATAGTGGGGTAACCGATCCTTACAAAACTTAATAATCTCCTCTGTACCAGTTTTACAGCCATCCTTCAACTTCACAAATGCACAAGGTGTCTCCCCCCAATATTCATCAGGCCTTCCCACAATAGCTGCCTCAAGAATATCTGGATGACTAAAAAGCACTGATTCCACCTCAATTGTGCTAATATTTTCGCCCCCGGAAATGATAATATCCTTCGAACGGTCCTTTAGTTCTATGTAACCATCCGGGTGTTTCACCCCCAAGTCCCCACTACGAAACCATCCACCTTTAAATGCATCCCTTGTTGCTTGATGATCTTTCAAGTATCCATTCATCACGGTGTTGCCCCTGAACATAACCTCACCCATGGTTTTTGCATCAGACGGTACACTCTTCATGGTCACAGGATCTTTAACATCGAGTTCCTCCATGCCAAGATGTTGCAACCCCTGTCTAGACTTGATCTTTGCCTGTTCAACCCGAGGCAGGGAATCCCATTCAGGCTTCCAACTGCAAACTGTCCCAGGACCATAAGTTTCTGTCAAACCATATGAGTGGGTTACATTGAACCCAAGTTCTTCCATCTTGAATAGTACCTGGGCTGGTGGCGGTGCAGCTCCAGTCATGACTATTACCTTTCCCGGAAGTGGCCTTCGCTCATTTTCTGGTGCATTTACAATCATGTTTAAAACGGTGGGTGCACCACCCATGTGGGTCACCTTGTGCTGAGAAATACAGCTAAATATTCCTTTTGCAGTGACATTTCTTTGGCAGATATTGGTGCCACCCTGAGCAGCCACAGCCCAAGTGAGGCACCAGCCATTGCAATGAAACATGGGCACACACCATAAATACACAGGCATTGAGGGCATCTCATTGAGAAGAATTGCTGCAAACGAATTGAGATAGGCACCTCTGTGGCTATAAATGACACCTTTTGGGCTTGATGTAGTACCTGAAGTGTAGTTGAGTGAAATTGGATCCCATTCGTCTTTTGGCCGTTGGATCTCAAAATCGAGTTTTCCCCTTCCTAATAGGCTCTCATATTCCAAGTTCCCAGAAATGGGGTTGCAGAACTCAGGGGACAATTGATTACTCTCTGGGATTAAGACTAGAACAGGTAGCTTGGTTCTAGTCTTGGACAGAATGTCAAATGCTCCTTTAGCAACATGGAAAAGTTGGTAGTCTACAAAAACGAATTTGGCATCAGAATGTTTTAATAATACTGACACCATTTGTGAATCATGGCGTACATTAAGTGTACAGAGAACTGCGCCTGCCATTGGAACACCAAAATGGAGCTCATACATTGCTGGGATATTTGGAGCCAATGCAGCTACCTGTGGGAAAAGGACATCACGAATTAATCTGCACTGGTGCTTTAAGAATAAGGCAAAGAGGAGTAAAATCTAAGAAAGAAAAGAAATCAAAAGTTTTAATGATTTATATACCCCAAGCCTTATGTGAAGAAGAGGGTAATTAGAAAAGAAATTCAGGGAGAAAAAAGTGTTGCACTGTGAGCATGACATGCACATCATTGGCTAGACTGAATCTCATGGAGATACAGAAGGATGGCCAAAATAAACATGGATTTTGTGAATCACTCTTAAAAGGAGAAACTTTAAAATTCAATTACTTCAGGTACAAATGTGTTCAAAGTGGCCAGAACATGGTAGTAACGACGCAAAAACATCATCAAAATCTGAAAGCAAGGAGAACAACCAACCTCCTCTCCCTCACTATGTTGATTGGATATTGGGACATGTCACAAATCCAAACTTCCCCAAAAGGAAATACAAAAGAGCAAATAAACAAACCAAACCACTGAAACCATAAAAAATGAAGATGCAAATTGCAAAGTAGTCAATAATGGGAACAAACAGAGCAAAACTTCTACAATAACATGAAATAAGTAGTTTGTTGCAAACCACATCTCCACGAGAAATTCCGAGCTGGGAAAGAGCAGAAGCGAGTCTGGTGCATCGTTCAAGTGTCTCTCTCCAAGTGTAGATGATGCTTCCGTATACAACAGAAGGCCTGTCTCTGTAGACTATGGCCGAGCGCTCCAGGAAGCTGATTGGAGAGAGGGGGATGTAGTTAGCAGAACACCTGATTGAACCCTCCATCAATTTCACCAGTCAGGCAGCCCTGTCCTTTTGAATTAAGTGATGGAATAGTCTGAGAAGTGCTAAACCTCCAAACTCAATATAATTTTTTTCCCTGTGAGTTATCAGTCATCGGTTCTTTTCTGTTTTATACACCAGTATCAGAAAGAAAAGAAAAGAAATCAATTATAGAGATAAAATAACACAACTAGCACAAGAAACTATCACAGGAATGAAAAGGTAAGTGTTTGACTAGTATACAAAACTTGGGAAGAAGATAAAGGGCCAAAACAATGAAGGTTGAAATTTTGTATGGGAAATACTGAATTTGATTAGCATAAAAATCTGCTCATTTCACCGCCCACCTTTGGACTTGGGAAAGATTGAATTTTCATATTACAATTGTTGACTATCAGTACATGGACAAGAGAAAGCTCCACCTATATACCATTTGACCATCTCAACAATACCAAAACCATTCTGCTTCATAAAATCAAGCATTCATCTATTTATGTTGTAGATTTCATATCAGCTTTCATGTTTTGCTTGGACAGAGCAGAATCTTTTTTCTTCTTAATCTATATATGTCTTTGTTTTTTCATAATCTAGATTAAAACCCACAATCAGGAAAAATTTTCTCGACAATCCAAATTCCTAATTCAAACTAACCCACATCTTTTATAGCAAAGTAAGATGACGAGAAATGAAACTTTCCCACATCAGAAATTATAAACCAAAGCAATCAGATTGGAGAGAAAGACCTATCTTACTTGGGTTTGTTGTGTTGCCGTTGTGACTTGCGAGTGGTTGAGAGGCAGAGTGAAGACCGAAGAGAGAGAGAGAGCCTATTCAGCATTACATTGTCATCATATTTATATAAAAAGAAACTAAAAAAAAATCAGTTATGATCTCTCTCTCTCTTCACCTGCTTCAGAAAAAAAAAAAAAAAAAAACCCTCTCTTTTTTAATAAAAAATGAAAAAATGTTTTTGAAAAACAAGAGAATTGAAA